CACACAGCGTCTCCCTGACATGGCTGCTTCAACACTAACTGCGGTTACTGAAACCACGCCTTCTTTCTTTGCGTGAACATTTGGGCGCATTATGCTAATATTTCCACATAGTGAGGTAGATATGTGGGGGCGTGTTTGAACGAGCCGTTTTAGGGGGGCGTGGCAGAGTCTTAAATTTGATAAAGAATATCTCTTTGGTTTTGAGACTTTAGTCTTTGCAACTTCAGGGATCTTATCTATGCACCATCAGCTTGTAACACTCCAAAGAGAAAGGAAAACTTGAAATCGCATCATATGACCCCTTTAAGGAAAATGTAATACATTATTCTGTTCGCAAAATATACTGTATTGTGGGGTCAGTATGTTTTTTTTTTTATTTTTTGAAAGAAATTAATACTTTTATTAGGCAAGGACACATTAAACTGGTCAAAAGTGAAAATAAAGGCGTTTATAATGTTACAAAAGATTCCTATTTCAAATAAATGCTATTCTTTTGAACTTCCTATTCATCAAAGAATCTAGAAAAAAATGTATCCCGGTTTCCACAAAAATATTAAACAACAGCGGTTTTCAACATTGATAATAATAGTAAACAATAATAATTATAAAATAAATATTAATATGAATAACAATAAGGTTTTTGAGCACCAAATCAACATATTACAATTATTTCTGAAGGATCATGTGACACTGAAGACTGGAGTAATGGCTGCTGAAAATTCAGCTTTTTATCACAGAAATAAATTACATTTTTAAATATATTAAAATAGAAAAACATTATTTTAAATTGTAATAATATTTCACAATTTTACTGTTTTTTTAAATTAAATGAATGGAAGGTATTATATAAAGGTATATTATGATTTCTGTGTGTGTAAAAAATATAACAATTATTTTTTTATATAAATCTGTAATATTTAAATATACATTTTGCATGTTTAGATTACATCAGGGTTTTTGTCGTTGCATGCAATGACCTTTGCAATGAATTTTGTAGTACATAGCGACAAACATAGGGAAGTAAAAGTCCTATTTTACCTCGGGTGTCCTTATTGAACCATAAATATAATATCACAAAAAGTACTATAAGCAGGTTGCTTAAACCGGTCCTTCAAAGCTGAGGTACCAAAAATTGGCTTTCAATTCCCAATACACTGAAAACAATGAAATAAACAAATGGGGAGAATTTCTATTCCAGATATTTTCAATGAATCCCACAGAATCAAATATTATGTTTCCAGGCCTGAATGTCCTGCCTAGAGCAATAAACACATATACACACGATAAGGTATAGGCCTATATAACAGCTCCAGTCTCAAGAGCAAAATCTATAGTGTTCATAGTGTGCACCCTGAGGGGGACGCTTGAAATGTAACTTCCTTATAGTCTCCATGTGGCTGCATAACAACCTTGAAATTTCACACAGATCCTATTTTCACATCTAGTGTGAGAAAGCGATGCATAGTGAGGGGGGCCCTCTAGTGGACAAACCGCTCGATGCCACCAAATCTAATTTCCTGAGTTTGAACAATTTTAGCAATGACATCTTTAATTATTCTAGGAATAGCAGAGCAGAGCGTGCATTTCAGTGGAAATTCACTTAAGCACTAGCACATTCAAATTAACGTCTCATTAACGACACAGAGAGCGGTTGTGACCATTATATCTACTTTTAGGGAGAAAGTCTGTCCTTATAAAGTTCCCATAATTAACAACATTCCAGAAGAGGTTAGGTAAGGTTGTATCGAGACATGGTAAGTCAGAGTAATGCTTACCTGTAGTGTTGATCATACTCTTGGGCGTAGCGGACGAAGCAGCAGCAGCGAAGATGTTTGGGGTGCTAGCAGAGGTCAGGGTGCTGCTGGAGCCAGAACTGCCCACCGTGTTCACTGTCAGGCCCGAGAGAGGCTTCTTGGCCTGTACCACCACACTCCTGCGAGAGAGAGTTCACAATCTTTTACTAAATGTACCTTGGATTTGATGCAGCTGGCAAATTGTTCTTGTAACCTGGCAAGGCGGATGTGTAAACATAAGACCAAACAGCTAGGATTTTACCAAGCACTTCCCGGAAGGGACGGCAAATGAACCACAAAAGCTTCCAGATTCCGCATAAGCAAAAAGAAACAAATCTAACAAAGCAAAATACAACAATAAATACACATGATTGCTTGTGAAATCAGTTGATTAAGCTGCAGGGAGACTGACGGCTGTGTTCCACGGTCCAGTCAGGCTGGATGAAAGTGGATGGATTGAACGGTCGCAGTGGCAAGGGAAAGACCAGCAGGCAAAGTAAACATCCTGCTCTCTTGCCTTGTGACTGTACAGAATGAGAGCTCAGGACAAACAAACAGTAAAATCAAAAGCAGTGACTGCTGGGTTTTGGGTACGTTTCTCTTTTCTGCTGTTTGTCCACTGCTGTTACTCGACGTAATGTCAAACTCGGAGAGAAATTCATCAGGAGATACTTTCCAGGTGCGCTGCAGAAATTTGGTGTTGATATAGCAGTGCAATTTTGAGGTTCTCACCTTAGAAAACCTTATGTGTTATTCATACTATGCAGTACATTTTCACTGCCCCATTATATCTCACTATATTGGATTAAATATTAATATTAAATATTAAATTATAAAAATATGAAATAAAAAATGTATATATCATTTATTGTTTTACATAAATATTACTTAGCTTTAATCATTGTGTAACAAATTAACAGAAGCCAATTTTAAATGGTTTTAGTACTGTCGTAAATAAAATGCATAATTAGGAGATATTAATAATACATTTGACTAAATAATGAAATAAATATTGTTATATCATATTAGTTAACTTTTGTCAATCATAAAATCAAACATGAATTAACAAATGCCCATTTTAAATAATCTCAGTAAATCAATCAATCTATCTATCTATCTATCTATCTAACTATCTATCTATCTATCTATCTATCTATCTATCTATCTATCAGTTTTTTTCACATTTTATTTATTTATATTCATATAAACTTGCGAGGCAAATGTCAATTCTGTGGAAAAAATGGCAATGAATCTAATAAATTCTGCAAAGTTTTGTGGTATTAAATGGTTTGCATCACTACAAAACATTCTATTCCATTAGATAAAGTTTAAAAAGGGGGGGGGGAATAAATCAAGGATAAAAGGGTAGGATAAAAACAAAAAGATGGATGAAAAATGAAAATATCAATAAACAAAAATATCAGAAAACAAAACATCTCAAGGTAACACCCTCATCTAAGCACATTCTTAGTGGCTGTTTATTTCCATCTTGTTCTGTTTTTTAACCTTTATAATCGTGGTAAAATGAATTTAAGTGCTTGAACAAGACAAGATCATATGTCTGAAAGTGTAGAACATCATTTATAAAAATACTTAAACATATAAGTATATTCATTTTTAAAATAAATGTACTGGAAGTACTTCAAAAAAGTACTGAATAACAGGAATAAGCCTCCTGTTGCAGGAAAAAACAGGCCACAAACACAATACCAGCCATTATCTTGTCATCCTTCTTCGACCATCTCTGGAAAGCTAATTAAAGAAACAGTCTCTACATATAGCTAAACAAATTAAACCATTAAAAAAGGGCCTAAATATACTAATCAACTTAATTATGCCTTCAAGAAATTATACTTAGCTTTTATTTTCCAGGTTATTTATAGATGTAGATAGAAATCACATGGTTTCCAGAGGCAACAGTATAACTAGCTGAAAATAGCACTGGAGACGAGCAGGATCACGAGTTTGCATTCAACTCTTGACCTTGCCGATAATCTCCTGCATGTCTTCACAGACATTCTGGAGCTTCGCAGATATTCACGGAAAACCACCTTAGCCTGATAGCAAAGAGCAGGAGAGGATTAGTTTGATATTATACACAAGACAGAGTCAAGTGCTTTGGAGGATGGAATGATATTTTGTTGGGGTTTATATTGGTCTGGTTTCTTTATCACGACTTGACGTGGTTCGAGATGCTGGCCGATACAGAGATCTGCATGTTTTGGGTGATGTAGCGCAGGGCTGGTTCTAATGTCACCTGCTAAGCCTCCTGATGCTGCACTATGTGACCTCAGACACTGTTCAGAGAGAGGATGGAGCCATTAGAGCACTTGTCTGGGAGACTGCCACTCGTCCCCACGGCACGCTCTCTTTAACACGCTGGCGTGACAGGAAGCAAAAACATTCTGTGACACGTGCTTCCCCTTGAGCACTACAAACAGAGAATAACAGACCCTTAAAATCATGCATGTGTGCCATTGTCTTTATGAGCTATGAGGAGTTATTCTAGTATATGCAAATACATAAGTTACAGTTTAAAAATCTGAGGTCTGTAAGAATTTTTAAAAGAAAAAGAGAGAGAGAGAAAGAAAGAAAAACAGTAATATATTGTAAAATATTATTACAAATAATGAAAAAAAAAATCTATTTTAATGTATTTTAAAATGTATTTTTATTCCTGTGACAGCAAAACAGCCATTACTTCAGTTTTCAGTGTCACATGATCCTTCAGAAATCATTCTAATATGCTGATTTGGCATTTAAGAAACATTTATTATTATCAAAGTTGAAAACGTGCTTAATATTTGTGTGGAAAATGTTTGAGACATTATAATCAGGATTCAATGATAATTAGAAAGTTTAAAACTACAGCATTAATTTGAAATTTAAATCTGCTGTAACATTATAAACGTTTTTACTGCACTTTTCTCTATTATTTATTTTGTCTATTATTTAAAAAAAATAATAATAAAATAAAACATAAATAAGTAAATATAAATAAATAAATAAAACATAAATAAAAAATCATAATAAACAAATAAATAAATAAATAACCTTACTGACCCCCAAACTTTTGGTTTTGGCAGTGTAAAAGTAACGGTTTTAGAATACAAATTAAAACTCCTTGGCCTCACATGTACACACAGAAATTACACTCAAAATCATATTTAGTGCACTTTACACTGAAGAACAGAGTAGTATAACCGAACATACAGCTAACAAGTTGTATGGACTGCTTTTATGGGATTTTTTTTTTTTTTTTTGGAATTTGT